CTGATTTCCCAGAACCGACACCCTGAAGACATATATTTCTATATTGTTTCAGGTCAAATAATGTCATTGCACTTGATGTGTCTTTTTGTGCATGTGTGTGCGTTGCTTGAGTCCAAAAGTGCTTTTCGATGTAGTTGTGTTGCTGGGTAGGCCTCGTATTAAAACGATATCTTATCTGTCCGGGCCAAATAAGAAGGAAATTTGTTGAGAGAGAAGTTGAGAGAGAGATGGCGATGCTGGAAGGATCAGGACTGCTGAATGGGCCATGCCAATCTAACCCAGAGATGGCCAGTGGGGAGGGGGGTGAAGCCTGGGGGCATCATAGAGCCTAGTGAGGCTGAGGACTGAGGAAGACAGGTGGTATAAGTAAGATAGAGGTGACGAAGAAGACACAGCTTGGGAGGAACTGGTGGGGGGAAATATGCACAAATAGCAGAATGTGAAAGCATGTCCAAAGCAGGGAGATGAACGATAGAGGGGAATCGACAAATGATGACCCATGTCAAGCCAAAGAAAAAATGGGTCTACTTGGATTAGATACTAATGGCTACTCAAAGTAGAAACACATTCTCTTATATACATTTATTTTTCCACTTTTATACTGATATACCATACGCTATATGTATGCTTGTAACAGGTAGTGTAGTCAGAAGGTGTGTGTATGGTATCAGCATCTGGAGACTGTCAATGGGAAGCTGTATGTTGCTGAGATACTGATGTTTGTTTTTTTGTCCAAGTCCAAATTTCCCTACGGGGAAATATATATTCTATTCCATTCTATTCTATTCTATTCTATACTATAGTTGCTTGAAAAAAAAGTAAAAAAAAAAAAACGTTTAATTTAACACAAATTAAAAAACTAATATAACATCATTCAATTCGATCAAAAGTATAAGCACCTTGTGCTCCTTCTGTCTGTCTATCTTATTTTCTCTCATTGGTTTTTGCTGCACTTCCTTGTCGATTTGGCTGTGTTATATGTTAAATGATGGGGGACATTGTTGGTATTGTCATCCCATAGGGGCCACTTCAACTATTACAACCTTTCCATTACTAACATCATACTTGTACAATGAAATGCAGTGCAGTTCAACAGACTTGTGACACATCCAGCATGATGTCTGATGTTTGTTGAGGCAGAGTCAGAGACATGCCGATTCAACATCATGATAGTGTTCGAGGCCATTGTTTGTTTCTAAACAAAATATCTATGGCAACACTAATGGTAACAGTTTGAGCGTGCTAAGAAACTGCATGATTGATAGGCTGTACTGTTTGGTTGAGGAAGTAGATGGTGATGTCAAACGCTTTTTAGAGAAGCCTCAAATACCGGATAGTTTATTTTTCTTTAAATACATTTTCTATGACTCATAACTCTTACCTCCCAGAAATAATTGCAAGCAATTCCAACCATCTCTGTAAGTTGAATGTCTGTGGATTTTTCATTGCTAATCAGTTGAAAATGGAAAAAACCCTGCTCTTTTACTGCACCCAAACAGTCGTTTTTTGACAGTGAATATTATTATTTAAGCCATTTAAAAATGAGTTCATCCTTTACATCCACTGTGTTTTTGGAATAAAACTCTTCTGTAAACCAATCGAAGAAACACAATTTGATGGCAGCTTTAGTGGAGCAGCAGGGGATGAGCTGATTTCTCCTCTCCAACACACTGAAGAGGATAGCCCTGACCCCTGCTGACCCGCAAGGGAGGGAGGCAGGGAGGAATGGAGGGATGGATAGAGGAGGGGGAGGATGTGGAGTGACAGGGGGAGAAACACAGGAGGAATGTGAGATTACGGCCACTATCTCCAGCAGATACAGAGGGTCCGTCTCCTCACTTCTTCAGTCCACAAATAGGAGGAGGAGGACGAGGAGGAGGGGGGGTGGGCAGAAAAGGAGGAATAAGAGAGAAAATGGGTATTAAGAGTCAGAACGAGATGCTTTCCATATGAATGCAAAGCCCTCAAAAGAACAGAAACAGACTTTTCACTTTAGAGGAGGAATAGGATGGTATGGGCAGCGGAAGGGAGGGGAAGAACAAAAGGTGATGGGTGAGTGTGTGTGAGTGAGTGAGTAAGTAAGTGAGTGCTCCTGCGCACGTGCGCACACACACGCACACGCACGCACGCACACACACACACACACACACACGCACACACACACACACACACACACACACACACACACACACACACACACACACACACACACACACATCTATCTGTACACTCAGAACCTCACTGATAATAAACGAAATCTTAGAAATGAGAGCCTATCAAGCAGGAATCAATCACTGGGGTTTGTTGTCCAGGAGGATGGCGCCATGTGGAGATAAAAGACAGGCGGACGTCTGGGGAGGGCTGGGAGGAGAGGAGGAGAGGAAGAGAGGAGGAGAAGAGGGGAGAGGATGGAACGGGAGTCTGGGGAAGGCAGGGAGGAGAGGAGAGGAGAGGAGAGGAGAGGAGAGGAGAGGAGAGGAGAGGAGAGAACTGATGGGGAAAGGCCTGAATTTGTGTATTTATAAACTCCATCTGGCTTTATTCGAACTGGGTAGATTTTTTGTGAATCAGATATGAACTGTTTTGAATCCAGATGTGGACCAGGGACAAAAATGTATTGAGCTACACTTGGCACCTGGCGTCAACAAACCTGAAAATAACCAGAGATAAGACAAGCAAACCAGGTATAGTAAGGCCAGGTAGATCAATTACAAAAATGAGTGTGTGTGGATGGCCTTGCGTGTGTGCGTGTTCGTGCGTCTAGCTGAGTCCATGCCAGGAAGCCTCTCCCAACATCAGTATCATATGATTAGATGGACTTGCACATGATGCAAAAACCCAGACTCTGATAGGGCTCCATCCGGTCCCACACACTGTTCCCAACGAACGAACACACACACACACAAACACACACACACACGAAGATACACACAGCTGTTCTCATTTCCCACCTCTGTCACACACATACGTGATAAGGTGTTTATTCATTGTCTCTCTTTTTTAGCAGACAGTCCAACCTCTGACCTTTCCATTTGAAATCCCTTCAGTTAGTTGGAGATCTCTCTCCAGCCTGAAGTTATATATATATCTTCGGGTTTTGGTTCGGGAGGCAGACACCCTCCCACATTTAAGAGTAGGCTTAAGACATTCCTCTTTGATAAAGCTTATAGTTAGGGCTGGATCAGGTGAGTCCTGAACCATCCCTTAGTTATGCTGCTATAGGCCTAGACTATCGGGGGATTTCCCATGATGCACTGAACTCCTCTCTTCCTCTCTCTTTCTGCACTCATTCATGTCCCATTAATACATGTTACTAACTTCACTTATTCCCCGGAGTTCTTGTGCTTTCTCGTCTCGCAGGTTCTCATGGATCCTGGTGGAGCCTCCTGCCATGGTCCTGCTAGACTCCCACTGCTAATATCACTGATATTACTGTTATTATTATCATTATTACTAAAGTTATTATTATTACTATAATCACTGCTCATTGTCCCCCATTGTTGTCGTCATCATCATGTTCTTCATGTTCATCATCATCAGTCTCTCTCTCTATCTCTCTCTGTCTCTCTACTGGTTGAGGCAGACGACCACCCACCTACAGCTGGGGTCTGTCCTAGGTTTCTGCCTCTTTAAAGTTTTTTCCCTGTCGCTGTCGCCAAGTGCTTTCTCATGGTGGGAACTGTTGGGTCTCTGTAAACACTTTATAAGGAGTTCGGTCTAGACCTGCTCTATTTGAAAAGTGTGAGATAACTTCTATTATGTGTTGGCACTATACAAATAAAATTGAATTGAATTGCCATTATTATATAGCCTTAAAAATCAAATAATATGTGTATAAATAAATGTCATAAATAAGTCTACAACTAACAACTAGGGGCAACAATTTTATCACAACAATATTATATCGATTCTAAACAATACAATATTTGCGAATATCTAGTCTAGTAATATCTAAGTCTGCCACCATACCATTTTGAATTAATTCAGGGGCCTGTGATCATTAATGCAATCAGTTACACTTATATCAACTCACAAAAAGCAACTAAAATATGATTTGAACATTTTATTGCTAATTTCTTCCAGACAATCAGATGATCTCATAACAGCATTGTTTGCATATGCTTTGTATTTATTCGCACTCAAAATAAACACTTTGTGGGTGCCTGGTTAGCCCAGTGGGTAGAGCTGGTGACCCATGTACTGAGTCCTTGCTGCAGCGGCTCAGGGTTCGAATCCGACCTGCGGCCCTTTGCTGTGTGTCATCCCCTCTCTCTCTCTGTCCCCCTTTCCTGTCTATCTTCAGCTGTCACTATCATAAAGGCCATAAAAGTCCCAAAAAATACTCGATATATTGGATTGCTGAACATTGATATCTATATATCGATCTAGATCAATGTATCGTTACACCGCTAAGAACAACTATTTTCATTATCAATTAATTTGCCTACACTTATTTTGATCAATCCAATTTAGTTTAGCCTAAAAGCGGAAGTAAAGTGTGACATGTACAAGTCATATCCCTAGAGCCCATTTCTACTGCTATGGACGTACTTTTATTACATCGTGAAGTTGCGCTGCATCATGGGAGTTGTTCATGGTTAAACAACCACCACTGTGGATGAAAATCTATCTGAACTGACCCCTGAAGTGTGTATAATTCACAGACAAGGTAATGTGTTGATGTTTTAGTTACGGTCACCAACTTGCTTCCACGTCCTCTGATGTATCGTACATTTACCCGGAAGTTATTACAACTATAGGGGGTAAGGGGATATGACGCCATTGACAAGGGGACCAAATTAAACACACCATTAACTGAATAAAATGACAGATTTCGAGTTTGGGATAATGTAAGTACATAATATATAACATAAGTCTAGTTGTTTTTTTGAGTGGGTATTTTGATCATCAGTAATGTTTCGACGTAATTACCTGTAATAAACAGCTACAAAAACTCTTTATCAGTGGTTACTGGACAGTGATTGCATCAGAGCTCCTACCTCTGTTTCCTGATCATCTGTGCTGCCCTCTGATTGAAGGATTCCTGGGTAGGGGCCCCATGTTATGTCTGGATGGAGGTCCCTGGCAGCCACCACCCTGCTGTCACCACCTTCCTCACTTAACTCCAGGTCATCTGGAGGGAGGACAGAGAAGAGATTAACGTATACGTATGATGTATGTATGATGTATAAGTTGAAATGACCAAAATTGTTTATTTCCATATGTATCTGAGTTGTAGAAGTATGAATGACCAAAATCAACTAAACTAAAAATATCGGTTTCAGCCTTCAAAAGCCCTAATGGTTGAGACATGAGCTACAGCATTTAGCAGGGACCACATGACAGGCTCCAACGGCCAAAAAAAGAGAGCAGCGTGTGGCTTGAACTTGACCTGAACCCTTGCTGCAGCTCAGGCCTTACAGCAAAAACTGTCAACAGCTCAACAGCAGGGGGAGTTTGATACAAGCTGAGCACTCTGTCCTGGCCGGTTCAAACAGGGGGAAACTTCTTGTGTACTTCCTCAAAGTGATAACTGTAGAAGGATGGCAGTGACGGCTGTGGTCTGAGCAAGCTGCAGCCCAGATAGAGCCAGTTAGCCTGGAGGCATGGGGGACTGATCCATCTATTTAAAAACTTAAGACAGCCCTGAGTGCAGGAGGTGCAGCAGTCTGTAGTTTAGAGAAGTCTCTGCACATCTGAGAATAAATGAACGAGTTTGAGCGCTGCAGTGGGAGCTCCAGTGACTGACTGGATGGGATTAATGCTTCAGTTACATGAGCAGCCTCAGGGTCTACTCCTGGAGAAGCTTTCTTGTTATGACCATCCACCTCTCTCCCTGATCAAAACACATACAAAATCCCCCCCCCCATCTCATCCACGGTTCAGGCGACTGTTTCGGGGGTCGGTCTAAAGTGGCGGGCCTGATAAGAGTGTTTGTCTAACACTCTCCATGTCAAAACACTCATCTATCTTCTCTGTATCTATCCCCACCAGAGAACAACGGACAGACGCTGATAAAATGGCTTTCCCACAGCCGGTGGTGGGGGGGGGGAGGTGGTTATGGAGGGGGAGGAGGGAGCAGGAAGGAGTGTGGTTTGAGGGAAGAAAGTAGGAGGGACGCAAGGCGGTGAGAAGTTGACATAAATGTAATAAAGCAAGTCCCAAATAGCAGTTGAAAATATTGTCTCACTTTCGGAAAGACTGTTGTGGCAAAGTTGCACAGGAAGTGGTATGTTTCTCTTAACTCACAGCCCAAAGTTGCAATGACGCTTAAAACAATATAATGAATAACACCCAGAGCACACAGGGATCAAAATATATAGAAGTAATTGACTTGATAGTATCTGTTTTATTAGGATTAACACTGATCCAACCAAGACTGAGCATTCCCAACAATGGCTATATCCTTTATAACTACATGCACTTATATCAGGTGCCACCACACCTTGTTTAGCAGTCATGGTATATGTCACACTGTAACCAGGCCTACTTTTTTATTCTCTCGCTCCAGTGCACATGAGAGAGTGACACTGATGCCAGACGCAACAAGAGCTGACCTGACCTGTTGTGCCTGGGTCAGGTTGGGCTGAATTTTTTATTGAATGACTCAGGTTTTAGTTGGAGCTCGATTTCACAAATATTTCTGAAGAAAACCTAGTCACCTTACAGCGTTAAAATACACCAAATTACAAAGGATACGTTGTTGAGGTCTAGTCTCCTGAAACATGACAGCTGTCAAGATTCTGTTGGGGTTCAGACACAAATGTCCAGGTCTGAGTCGGGTCAGCGTCACATTTCAGTCCCAGGTCAAGCTTCAACCCAAACATGACTCCTCAGGCAGTCTAACCGGCTGGCTGCAGGGTCTGAAGTCCAGCGGATGTCCAGCCAGTATCCTATCTCCTATCAGCCTATGGGGCCTCAGTTTGGCCACTTTGACCCTGTTTATCTCAGCACTCCATCAATGTCCAGTCTGCCTATGTGCCATTGGCCAATCCTCACCACATGGGACTCTTATCAGCCTGACCAGCTCAATTGACCCTCATTGTGAAACGGTACAAGGATTTGACCTCAGTGAGCCAAGACAGATATTAACTTATAAACAAGTCCGACCAAGCATTATTATGTCAGGTATTAAGGCCCAACAAGGGACTTGTTGCTGAGAGCCCTACTGGCTCCGTTATCAAGCTTATTTACTAAGCTTTTATTAACATAAATTAACATCGTTATTACTGATTTGCTGATATATATAAATGAGTTTAACTAGTTGATTATAGGCAGCATTAATGAGTCGGGTCCAGCTGTGGCTCAGGAGGTAGAGAGGGTGGTCCACTTGTTACAGGGTTGGCAGTTTATTCCAACTTCCTCCTGTCCACATGGCGAATTGTCCTTGGGCAATAAACTGAACCCCAAATTGCTTCTGATGGTCAGGCTATCATCCTGCGTGGTAGCTCACTGTTATCAGCTTCAGTGTGTGCATGAATAGATGAACAAAAATCTTGCAAAATCACTTTAGATTAAAGCGCTATATAAAGGTAGGTTTAGGTCCAGTGTGTAAGGACTGTATTTAGGATGATCTATTAGCTTTCTTTCTAGAAGGAGTCAATCATTACTTTTTCACAATGAGTACTTCTCTGAAAACAAGCATATGTTACAGTATGTGGAGTCCCACAGGGGAGCAGCTTGGGTCCACTTTCATTTTCTGTTCATTATCTACTCACGTTGTTACACTTATTGTATGTATTTAAATGATTAAACTTTGTACTGTTTTGTACATTACAAAAGAGAGATAAAGAATAATCGACTGTAAGCGCTGTGAGGGAAATTAAAATAAGATTGAGCACTTTGGTTTTTGTAGTAAGAAGAATGATCTCTCGCGAAAGCCTGAGTTTGCCACCAGTAGCCCAGAACAGACAAACCAGGAACTGGCTCTAGATAGGGCAATTTTGAGGCCACTGTAGTTTCTCCTTCACGCTTAGAAAGTGAGGGTAAAGTGAGGGTGAAGTGAGTGAGTGAGATACTGGTTCTTTAAGCAGTTGTCAGGGACTTGAGAAAGTGCTATCGGTGCACCTCCACTAATGAGTCCTGCTTGGTAATCCCAGCAGGTTAGCTGTGTTCATTGGGGTAACATGATGCCTCCAATAATACTTATCTCTGTTAATTACCCCTCCTGCCCACTACAGACCTGCATATTAACCCAGTGCTCCTTATCCATATGGCTGCACTGGCTGCTACTACCCTCACTGCTCTGTATTATGCTACCCCCATCACTGTTGTGTACTGTACTGCAAGTGTAGTGTGTGCACATGCACACACACACCACACACACACACAAACACACACACACACACACACACACACACACACACACACACACACACACACACACACACACACACACACACACACACACACACACACACACACACACACACACACACACACACCATTCTTTCCGTCAGTGCTGGATGACCCATTCCCAAAAACACAAGGCTGGATGGGCTTGTTATCAATATCAACCAGCTACACAGTATCCACACCGCCTCACTCATTTAGCTCCGACACACACACACACTGACTTACACACATACAAGATGACACATTGACACACGGCAGCCAAACACACACTGTGCCCATACACATACAGCCTGTACACACCATCACATCAATATACACCCCCTGTCACCAGCTACACACACATACACATACACACAAAGGCTTATCAATACGGACACTTCAGCAGCCACTGGGGCGTCCAGGCCTCTTTGACGAGCCAACACAATAAAACAATCAGTCCGTCATTAATGAAATGACTAACGCAATTAACCAATGATTCGGCCGGGGGGAAAGGGGGAAGCTGAAGGTGGCAGACAGCTGTTAAACGAGACCAGAGAGCCGTTAAACGAGACTGGGATAGTATTGATGATGATGTTACAGAATTTTTGATTCAGTACAGTTTTTTTGTGTTGTTTGGCCTGCCAGTTACCGACTGTTTAATGAGTTCTGTCGATGGAAATTACACAAAGCAAATATATTTAATGGCAAATTTTGTTGATGAGTGTCAGATTTATATAAAATATAAACATCATAATTTTAATCATAAAAAATATGCTGATTTCACAGATGTTAAACTGGGAGAAAATGTAAGGGGAACACTAAGTGTCATTTACACAATGAACTAGCTTATTGGTCAATACAGTAGGTTGATTCCCACCATCTTTGTCAAACTCACAAAAGCTGTCCTTGTAGTCATGAAGTATTGGATAACAAAGCAAAGAAACTGAAAGAGTCCATTTCAGTCTTCAGTGTTGAAAAACATTTTTACCACTGTGGAGAGTATTCAAATTTAAACATTGACAATTATTTACATTCATGAGTTGTTTTAACAAGGCAAAAATGCCTAAGGCAGGAAGTGGGATTGTTGTATCTTTTATATTGTGAAAGATTGAATGCTGATTATTTTGTGAATTATATAAAGTTAGTAAAGTTTATTGATGCCTTGATGCAGTTATTTGGTTAGACATGCTCAAGTCTGCAAAGGTCAGTGAACATAACACTGCATCATGGATTAATGATGAGTTTATCTTTCATGTTTTAAAGAGATAAAGTTAAAAACATGGCACATAAATCAAGTGGACTGCCATAAATTCCCTTCCACTCTTAAGTTAAGAAACAGGGTTACAAAGAAAAAAACTTTCAAGGAAATAATAGTAAAAGTTTAAGTGATTGTCAAGCCATATTCAACCCTTATGACACTGCCAATGATTATTTTTAAAAAAAATAATGATTGTCAAAGTGAAAAACCTATTGGAAATAATATGAGGCACTAAAGTGTTATTCTGAACTTAATCAGGTCGTTTAATTGTTACGTTCTCAGATGATACATCTCCAGGTATAGTGAACTGGGAAGGAAAATTAATTAAACCTGCAGTTGAGCTGTTATCTTCACTGATATGTCATATTATTAATAAATGCTTACTTAGTGGAAACTGTCCACAACTTTTACCCTCTCTTACCCAAAGATGAAAATGCTGATTGTTCTGTTTTCAACTGTGCCTGTTAAGAAGCTGGCAGCGCTTATTAAGACACTTCAGAAGTTTGTTTCCAATCCTTTTCTTTCTTATTTAGTAAACAATGGTTTATCAACTTAGCTATTGGTTGTATGAAGTCATCTTTCTAGATTTAGTCAATCATTACTTTTCACAATGAGTGCTTCTAGGTAAACAAGCATATGTTACAGTAAGTGGAGACCCACAGGGGAGTAGCTTGGGTCCACTTTCATTTTCTGTTAATTTTCTTCTCACGTTGTTACACATATTATATGTATTTGAATGACTAAACCTTGTTCTGTGCTGTACATTACAAAACAGTTATCCAGAATAATTTACTGTAAGTGGAAATTAAAAGGAAATAAATCTTGAATTTAGTAAGAATGTTCTCAGGAGTTTCCCTGTGAGAGTAATGCTATTTTAACATTTCAACAGTATAACTGATTGGGTGTCAAATTAGATAATCCTTTTATCTTAGTCAAAAGTCACGATAGGAACAGACAATGGGAGGCTGTGGTGCAGAGGCAGAGCGGGTCGTCCCCTAATCGGAAGATTGTTGGTTCGATCCCCGGCTCCTCCTGCCACAAGACCTTGAGCAAGATACTGAACCCCAAATTGCTCCCAATGCCGTGCATCAGTGTGTGAATGTGTATGAATGTGTTAGTTTCTGTTCGATGGGCTTTGCCATCGCTGTGTGTGAATGTGTGTGAAAGGGTGAATGTGGCATGTAGTGTAAAAGCGCTTTGAGTGGTCGGAAGACTAGAAAGGCGCTATACAAGTACAGGTCCATTTACCATCCATTTACCATTTACAATGGTCTGTACAAAGCAAGGAAAGTTAATTTGTATAGCACGGTCCACCAACAAGGCAACTCAGGGCTTTCCATAAGACATAATAGGCATTAAGAAACACAAGTAAAAGAGAAAGAGTTAAGAATTGGACTCCAACCAGACCCCAAGATGGTTTATAAACTATATTTCCACAGGATCCACTACATCCACACACTATATGGAAACACAGGATCCACTACATCCACACACTATATGGGAACAGTTGTCTACAGAAGTACCCGTTTTATTGGTATATCCTTGTGGATCACCTTTTTATTTCTGAAGTTAGTTTTGTTTGTTGTTTTGGGTGTGTCATTCTTAGAACTGAAGTCTAACACTGAAAGTAAACCGAATCACATATGCAAAAACCTTGCATAGGGGATTGTACCTGGTCATCCAATATGAGTGAGCAAGCTCAACAAACAGCCTACTTGATTGGATATCAATGAAAAATAAAAGGGGGAAAAAAAGAAAGGTGTAACCCAACACTGATGTTCTCCTCTATCCGGCTTAATTGATTTTTAAAAAGACTATTGTTGATATCAAATGAGCACATCGCGGCGGAGCTATTGATTTTTTGACACCACACAACAGGAAATCTTTATCTGCGTGCTACTCCGACCCTGCACTAATAGGTGGGGTTTAACCTCTGCTGAATGACAAATCCCAACGCCTCCATTCCTATTCTCTCTCTAGGCCTCGTGGGAAACACAGGACTATACTGTAGTTGTGTAATGAAAAGAGGGGGTCCTGTGTTTTTTTGTTTACACATGTCAAAATTCAATTATAGCTTCTGGGAATACAAAGGCTTTCTTCTACTTCTATATTATTAGCCACTATATTATACTCAATATTGCAGGAGCCAGTTTGATTAATTGTATGCACAAATTTGCATTTTGTTTCCGAAAATCAATAATCCATATTCCTTAAAGGCTTCAGCATCAGTGATGGGGAACCTACATGAACATACTATCTTCTACCAAACTTTAAACAGTTTTACATTATGTATTTTTCTACATATATTTTTTTCTCTGTGCTCTTCTTTGAGGTGGGCAAGGCTCAATAAGAAAAAGGTGATGTAGGCTGGTGTGTTGATTTTCAGAATGGGTGACCCCTTTCACATTACGGGGTGCTTCTATGTCATGAAGAAAATACTGATGAAAGCAGCTTTGAGTGGAATGTTTGTAATTTTCTCGTTATATTTAAGATTTGAGATTGTAAAATATACTAAATATTGTAAACCAGTGTTTCTCAAATGTGGGTTTGCGTACACAAGGGGTACTATGGAGTACTGCAAATATCAGCCATCCATAATTCCTAATATAATGACACTACAATAAGTTTAATAAAAAATTTAAATGTCACTTTGATAAACCACATTCTATATTGAATATTTATATTTATATATATATATAATATAAAACTTCTGGAATGAGTTTGATTGCTGTAGTTGCCTTTTTGCCACAGAGAATGAATGACTAAGTTCCTGCACAAGCCCATTTCTCATTTCTCATTTTCAAATTGTGCAAAAAATGCGCAAAAGTGCAAATTATCAAAAAGACGCAGTTCAATGCAATTTCAACACTGTCTCAGTGTTATTGCATAGTCAGGAAATTTTCAATTTAATGATGGATTCTGAACAGTTGATTAAAAAGACGCGGTTCAATGCAACTTCAATGCCATCTTAGTGTTATTGCATCATGACGAAAAACTGGTTTGCAATGATTTTACTGATGGATTGTAAACATTTTCATTGTTACAAGGTTGTGCTTTATTGTACCTCTTTATACAGGAATTATTTTTTGTGCTGGTCAGGGGGTACTTGGCTGAAAAAAATATTTCAACGGGGGAATGTTTGAGAACCACTGTGCTAAACCATAGAACCAAACATTTTATATATCAGGTAGCCGCAAATCTTTGAAAAGTCTGCAAAGAGTCATCTAAGGTGAACAGGACCCCTTTTCACAAAGCCATGGCAGGCATTACATTGGCTTAATTAACACATCTGGATCTCATAACACTAAACCAATTTCTTGCTGTCGTTATCCTGCTAATTTACGGTTTTATAACTTCGATCATCAATGTTCAATCAGAAATGTCTCAATTTATCACCTTTGCTTTGTTATTTTGGTAAATTTGCATTCATGAATTCTACCTAGCTGTCACATTAATGACTACTAGTGTCATTTATAACGCTGGCTGATAAAAGGCCTCAATCTAACAACAAGCAAGACCTGATTGCACCTCCTTTACCCATTCTCGACTCTCTCTCTCCATGATCTTCCACGCAGCCCCCCTGGGTCCCTTGAGTCCGGCAGGCTCGGCTCAGCAGCAGATAGACATTTCTGGGATAGGCATCTACTGCTCAGGACCACGCAATCATTTCCATTTTACCCTCTGTTGCACAGGCAAGATAAGACACCTGCGTAGCCCCGCTAATCAGATGAGCTTCAACAGAACTTTATCATTGACATTTACCACTGTTTACCCAACTAATTTCTCTTAACTGCACTGCTGAACTTTTATCTACAAAATACATACACCACCAGAAAAGAGCAAGAAGCAAACATGCAAATTCACAAATATGCGAAGAAAGATAAAAATGAGGGGGGGCTAAAAGCATTTTTTTCTGTTCAGAGGACGAAGGGGGTGAAAACAGAACAAGTGACAGGGCTACTGTTGATGAGATGAGCCTTCCTCCCTCTCCTCCTCATCCTCACTGAAGACAAACAGAATACTGACATTCACATGCAAAAACTTCATTTTGGAGTTCAATCACCTGACTGCTGGTGGGGAGTTTCATTTATTGCTGATAAAAAAAAAAAAAAGCGGCTCTGTATGCATGTGTGTGAGAAAGAGAGTCCGGCATTATCCAATCGGTCACAAGACAGATGAAGGGAAATCGTGTGCATTCAACACACTGTTTTAAAATTATGTAAACCGGTTTCATCAGTCAGTGTTACAGCTGGGAAGTCTGTGATTCTAAATGGTCCATACCCCTGTCAGTGCCTGGTAAAGCTTTCAAGCCAAAACTGTCATTAATTTAAAAGGAAACAAAATCTATTATGCAAAATAACCGTGACTGGGTCAGGACTCTAGGTGAAAGAGGGAATAATTCTAATGTGAATCTGTGTGTCAGAGAGAAAATATGGAAGTGTATGAGTGTGTGCACCTCATCCAACGTATGCGTGCATGTGTGTGTGTGTGTGTGTGTGTGTGTGTGTGTGTGTGTGTGTGTGTGAGAGAGGGCACGTACTTCATGAGCACAGCCGCTCCCTCATTCATACCGCCACCTCCATCTCTCCCAGCCTTCCCTCTCTCCTCTGCTGTAGCCTGTCACAAATTGAAAGTGGAGACCTTCCAGAAACTATCCCTGATAATCACACATAAATTAATTAGAAAATGTTTCTTGACATTCTCTACACACAGACGGGGAGAGGGGGAAAAGACTGAGGCAAAGCCACAAAATTAATTGTACGGTATGTGACTCTGATAATTAATTCAATCATTAATTCATGTCTGCTTTAACAACTCCCTTCTGGCTCCCGGAAAAAAAAAAAGGACATTTCAATCAGGCCAGTATCGGCAACGCGGGATAGAGAAGGAGACGCAGGAAAAGTTAAAGAATGATAGACTTGCTCGACACACTCAGGGTCATTTAGAGGTTCACCAATTAAACAGAGGAGATGAAGAAGAGAGCAGGGAGTGAGGCGAACAGGCAGAAGGAACATGAGAGGGGCTGTAGATTCTCTGACTCACTAGTCAGTAGCCATATCTAGAAAGAGTACACAAATACTGTTCCTGTAATATATCTGTTTAATGGTAACAACTGTAGGGGAAAAGAAGCTTAGCTGAGGATTTATGGTGATTTTCCTACACTTAAAGATTTTCTTAGGTGTACAATCCTTTTCTCTGTCCACTTTCATTTTAAAAAGTACTTATAGGCAGTTTTTAAAGCTCAAAGATTCTAGACAAAAAGAGTGGGGGGGAAATCCATGTGGACTATTATAGAGCACATTGTTAACAGTTGATTTTATAGTCAAAATTAAAACATTTTTTACACACACAAACTCCCTTGAGACTCTGGAAAACAAGTGATTGCTGTCTAATAAAGGAAGGAAACTGGTGAGAGAGAGATACTGTAGAGGACATAGAGAGAAAGAGACATAACATGATAAGAGACAGATATTGTGAGGATGGGAAAAATGAGCAGAAAGCAGGGAACATGTTTGTGAGGGCTTTTTCCCCTCCTTTACTTCTGTTCTTACATAGCGCTAGCATCCTCACAAGGACAGAAAAAGGATCCACATAATCCTCTAACATGAGGTTTTGTTGGTCCTCAATGCTACAGTGGATGAGTTTAGGCTTGAAGTTATGGTTAATGCACACATGCATGCATATGTTGACCAACCCTGCTGCCGTATAATGTTAGATGGTTATTTCAAAATATTAAGCTGTGAAGGTTGTCCCTCCACTTGAGATCTCAGCTACTGCTATCATGGACCTTGGACTCTGTCTAAAAATTGACCGCTGTGCCTCCAGACAAAAAGAAATCTCAGGATAACCACTCAGTTCTTCATCTTAAAATACAAAGAAATGTCTCCACTTACTATCTCAGTTTTTTTAATTAGTTGCTGATTCTGTGAGCATATAAATGACAGACCGTAGCTTAAATTCTTTAATGTGTGAGCAGGAATGCTCGTATACAAAATAAAAGCAGTGTGCCATTGGGGAACACTATCAACAAGTAGTGAAAAGGTAAACATCAGTTCACTAGCTTTATTATTTCAGGTTCTGTATAATTTTCCTATGATACTACTATAGGGACCTCAATCATATCTGTTTAGCACTGTACAGAGAGCTTAACACACATAATCTTGCATGGGATTGCTGTCACTAACATCACATATTCAAAAATAATTATGGGGGCAGATAAGTTATCAACCGATTTATA